AAATAATCGTTCTTATCAGCAATAATTCATCAATGTCGAAAGTAGGATGCGGACCAGTATTATCATGAATTTTACTTTTGTGAGAGTGCTGATAACTGAAATGGTAATGAGATCTTGATTGTTATCTTACCGATAAGGTTAATAATGATAGTAGTGAAAATGACAGTGGTAATGTTTTGATAGCGATGACACTAGAGTGGATGTTGTCATGATAGCAATAATAATGATATTATCATTGATGAATAGATCCGGTGAACCGAGTAGAAAGGCTACACTTCGTCTATCATTGAGCCACGATGACGACCAGCCAAAATATTCAGCAAAAGGAGGGAGAGGCAAAAACGAGCGAGGTGATAACAAACGCGACAGGCAAAAATCACCATTAGATGATGATGGTTCATCGTTGTCGGTAATGTTTACGTGACTGGTTCGGGTACTATGTCAGGAGATAATAACTGATAAGTTATCTCAACTCTTGAATTCCGACCGATTGATGCAAACCTTCACGATTAATTAATCAAAATAATTGGGTTTGATCAAAACATTAAGTGATCGCTCCACAGATACATGATCATATGATCACCTAGAAAGCGAAAGCGCTTTCGCCTTCTTGGTTCGTTAATTTCTAAAGTTTACAGTTACAAATCAATAGAGAATAATTTTGAAATTGAAGGGTGGAAGAGCCGTGCAGATCGAATTACCACCAGGCGAACAAGCGCAGGAAAGTGAAGATGTGGCACCGGAGAAGAAGGCAACTTTAGGGAAATGGGACGCGAAATGGCCCAGAAAATCCTCCTCATCATCATTGTCCAGCAGATCAGATTCAGCTGTTGGCTCAGCGTCATCTAAATGTCAGTTCGATAAGGATTTTATGTTTTGAGAGCCACAGCATGAGACTTAACGGTCTGCGTAGATGTTCTTTCTTCGAAGTGACAGATAATTTTGCCAATTGCTTACGATCAAATCGATAGTTGATCCTTGGAATAACCGAAAACTTTGGAAGTCGATCTAAATTCTGCTTGCTTATTGAATTTTTGAATTTTCCTGAGCAAATGGGCTAAAAATTCAATGATTTGGCTCAATTTCGCCCTGGGGAAGTATGATAACTCAACTATTTCCACTGATTATCTTTGAACTGTCCAATCAAGATATAGGAGTAATGATGAAAAGCTTTAGAGAGCTCAAGATTCCAAAAAAAAAAAACATACAGGAATTGTTTTCAGCTACTAATTCGGCATCCTCATCGAACACAGGTAATGACAATCCCGTTTTAATGGCTCAAGACTCAT